TAACTCGTAATATGCCTTCCTCCTGGACCACCGAAATAGTATGCTTTTTGTAGACGTAGCTGGGGTCTGCTGTAAGGGATTAATTTTGGATGAGTCAGTCTTTTTCTGCCTTCTTATTTCAACGTGTGATTTTAGTCTCCCCCGGACTGCTGTGTGTGTATATACCAATCATTATATTACAAAAAATTGAAATGTAAAGTTTGGGGAAGGGTTAAGAAAAAAGAGTCACCCATTCTCTTAATACATACAGTAATTGTTAGCATTTGGACATGTTACCTTACAGTTTTGTCTTGTTTTCTTTTCCACATTTGTGGCTTAAGGCTTTCTGGAAATCAAATATGTATGTTTGAACTAGCTTCCTCATTGGTTTTAAGGTACTTCTTATGTATTAGCAGCTTGTGTAACACTGAGGTGGTGGTCAGGTCGTGTGATTTCTGGTCACTAACTAGCTGTGTAACTTTGAACAAATATGTTAGTGTAACCGAGCTTTATTTTCCTCACCTGTGAAATGAATGAGACTTTTGGATTTTCTTAGACATTAGAAATACCATGAAAGAGCAATTCAAAGCATTTAAATTTGGAGTCTTTTAGGCTTGAATCTGGCTCTGCCTTTTATTCTTTAGTGACCTGGGACAATTAATTTCTATGTCTGTTTTCTCATTTGTGAAATGGGGAGTAATACTTTTGAGAACTTCAAAGGAGTTATTTTAGGTTAAAAGTAATTTTTCATTAATTCTCAGTACATGCTGCTATTAACTCTTTCCTGCCCTAAAGAACTATGATTCTGTATATCTGAGAATAAATGACAAGCTTAACTTTTCTATATTTTTTGTATAGAAATATATATACCCATATAAATGTTTATATATTTTGCATTGTTTTCACCAATAAGAAAATGTGGCTTATTATAGTTATTACCCCCTTTGAATAGCAACTTAGGAATTTTGAAAACATGTCTAGAAAGTGAATTCAAAATTGCCTGCGACCTGGATTGCCATTTAGACTCAACATAATACTGAGTCTAAATGAAAGTCTGTGCCATGGTCATTAACAAATGTTTAATGAGATTATAACATTTACTGGTGGATGGGTAAATTTTCTTGAAACTGATTTCTAATCCTCAAAGTTCTAACCCATTCCTCCTCCACAAATTCTGTAATTATGAATATGACTGTGAAATGAAAGCCACAACTTGACCAAGATATTTTATTTAATTCCTACTCCTCAGTCTCGATTTCTTTTTTTTTTTTTTTTTTAACGTTTATTTATTTTTGAGACAGAGAGAGACAAAGCATGAACGGGGGAGGGTCAGAGAGAGGGAGACACAGAATCTGAAACAGGCTCCAGGCTCTGAGCTGTCAGCACAGGGCCCGACATGGGGCTCGAACTCACAAACCGTGAGATCATGACCTGAGCCAAAGTCGGCCGCTTAACCGACTGAGCCACCCAGGTGCCCCTCAGTCTCGATTTCTAATATGTAAGTGGTAAAATAATTTCACAGGAAATGAATTAGAGGCAAATACCGTAGTAGAAGATGTGTATTTAAATTTGACTCACTTCCCAGGGTGCCTGGTGGCTCAGTTGGTTAAGTGTCCGACTTTGGCTCAGGTCATGATCTCGTGGTTAGAGAGTTTGAGCCTAGTGTCAAGCCCCGTGCTGACAGCTCAGAGCCTGGAGCCTGCTTCTGATTCTGTGTCTCCCTCTCTCTCTACTCCTCCTCTGCTCGCTCACTCGCGCGCTCTCTCTCTAAAATAAATAAACATTTAAAAAATAAATAAACAAATTTGATTCACTTCCTTAATCCTATGTCTTCCCCCAGGGTTGAATATTGAGAAAAGCTTTTGATTGTATAACCCAAGTAACATTTTTGTATTGAAATTTGTGTCCTTGTAATCCAACTCTCTCCACTGCTGTAGTTTTAGGTCTTGTAGGTATCTTTTGAGTTAAGTTATTGGGATGATTAAGAAGTAGGACAAAGGCTTATCTCTTTTGCTGGCACAGTTGATATAGGCTAAAGTTCACCTAGCTGCTATGGAGTAAGCTGTCCAGATTTGGTAATGGATACGGCTAGATTCCAAAAGCAAAGCTACCTTGTGGCTACCAACTTAATTTAGTTGCCTGTGGTTTGAATTCAAGATACATTTATACACTTATTTTCTCTTGGTTCTTTTTTTTTTTTTTTTTTTTTTTTTTTTTTTTTTTTGTCTCTATGGCTTGAATTCGTTTCAAGATATGTTTGTACCCTTATTTTCCCCTTCGTTTTTTGTCTTTATTGATTTGGAGGAGGTGTTTTGTGTATATGTATATGGGTGCGTGTGCAGCACAGGCAGATTAGTGGTAAGAGTTTAAAATGGTTTGACCCATGGGGCGCCTGGGTGGCTCAGTCCATTAAACGTCCGAGTTCAGCTCAGGTCATGATCTCACGGCAAGCCCCACGTCTGGCTCTGTGCTGACAGCTCAGAGCCTGGAGCCTGCTTCAGAATCTGTCTCCCTCTCCCTCTCTGCCCCTCCCCCACTCACACTCTGTCTTTCCCTCTCCCTCAAGAATAAATAAACATTTTAAAACATTAAAAAATGGTTTGATCCATAAGCTAATGAGCACCAACCTGTTGTCTCAAATAGTTGGTCTTTAAAAATGCAACCCATGCCCGAGCCCTGGCACCTGCTCCATTTTCTTTTTGCTTAGCACTTACCTCCTAACTTACTTTTTTTTTTACATGTATTTATGTTTCTTGTTTTTCGGCTGTTTTTCCACCCTGTCCCTCCCACCCTGCATTCCTAGTCAGTCCATCCCCACTCTCATCCACTCTACCCTGTTCTATTCCCTGTTCCCCTCCCACTGGAATTTCCACCCTACGGGCAAAGTTCTTTTTATGCCAGACCTATTTTCACTTCTTCATTTATC